GCTCTGGATTTGATCCCCAGCACCACGTAAGCCAGACATGATGGCCCATGCCTGTGATCCTAATGCTCAGAAGGTGAGGCAGGAGAATCAGAAGCTCAAAGTCATTCTTTGGCATGTATCAAGTTCAAGGCCAGCCTGGACTGCATGAGATTGTGTCTCAATAAATATTAACAAATAAATAAAGATCCAGCCTCAATTTCCTAAAGTGACAGTTAAAAACTAGCAGTTATTAAGCACGTTCTCTGGCTAGCAACTCACACAGCACACGAGGAACGTGTTCTTTCTCAGTTGTTCCAGCTTCTATAATGCCACAGCTGTGAAGGCTCATCAACAGTGTGTGCTTATATCTCAGTTCTGGAGACTGGGAAGTCCAGAGTCAAGGTAACCGCAGATTCTGTCTCTGACAGGGAACTTCCTTTTTAAAAATCACAGATGGTGTTTTCCTGCTGCACCTTCACGGCATGGAAATGGAAAAGCCACTGTCTCTGGGATCCCCTTTGTAAGAACTAATCTCATTCAAGAGGGCTCCCCCCTCCTGACCTAACCACTTTCTAAAGGCCACACTTCCTAATTACCATCACTTTGGGGTGAAGATTTCAGCATAAGAATTTGGGGTAGACATAAGCATTTGGGTCACTGGATATCTCCGTGTTTCCATTCTGCAGATGTAAGCCAAGGCTGCTTCCAAATCCAGGCCTCCACCTTTGACGCTTCTGGCTACACCCACCATGCTGCACGGAAACTTCCTTTGCCTAGTTTGTGTGCTTGTGTATGTGCACACACATGTTAGGGGGAGGGCAACCCCAAGTGTTGCTCTTCAGGAACTCGCCACCTCATTTTTGAGATGGAGTCTTTCACAGACCTGGAACTCCCCATGTAGGCAAGGCTGACTGGTCAGTAAGCTCCAAGTATCTACCTGTCTCTGCCTCTCCAGTGCTGGGATTGAAAGTACATGCCCTTGTACCCACCTCTTTTTAAATGGGTGCTAGGAATTGAAATCAGGTCCTTGAATTTGCAAGGCTAGCACTTTACTGACTGAACCACCTCCTCAGTCCCGTTTTGCTTCTGGTTCAGTTTGTTTCTGCAGTACTTGGCAGTTTCCCATAAGTCCTCTGACATCACTCAAACCTGTGGGGATGTTCCTTCTCTGCTCACTTCTAGGGGCACCTACTTCTCCTCTAACACTGTCTGTGGTTTGGATATGGGTGGAATGTGTCCCTAAAGATTCCTGTGCTGGAGTGTGGTCCTCAGTGTGGCTGTGTGGGGATGTGATGAGGACTTTAAGAGATGCGGCCCAATGGGAAGTAATTGGGTCATGGAAGGTGCTGTCCTTGGACAGAACTGATGTCCTTCTGGTAGGCCTTTGGCTAGTTCTCTCGAGCCAGTTGTTATAAAAAGCCTGCCAGGCCCCTCCTTGTTTCTCCCTGGCTTCCTGTCTTGTCATGTGCTCTAACCCTCCTGCACACTCCTACTGGGAGGCCATCTGCTGTGCAGTGAAGAAGCCAGTGGAGCCCTTACCAGGGCTGGCTCCACACTGTTTGGACATTCAGTCCCTAAAATTGAGAGCTAAATAAACTTCTCTTAACAAGGTCCCTAACTTCCGGCATTTCATTACAGCAGTGGATGATGGGCCACTACAGTACATGTCAGATGGTTGCACTATATAAAGTGCAGTTATGAAGAAGTAACAAAACTTAAAACAATCCAAATTTATGTGGAGCTGAGAAATGGACAAGTCAACTATGAGCATCCATACAATGAAACACAATACAACAAGACACAAGACACATCGCATCATTACTGTGTGGATGAGACTCATTATAGGAAGTGAAAGCCATGCAGAAAACTGTACACTGAGAGGGGCTGTGCGCGTGACACTTTGGAGAGGGAAAGCCAGAAGATGGAGGCTGAGCTGTACTTGCCTAGCAGTCACAAAGTTCTGTGTTCAACCCAGCACAGCATTAACCTATAAACCAGGTGTAGGGACCTACAACCCCAGAACTTGGGAGGTAGAGGCAGAAGAATCAGGAGTTCAAAGTTAGGCTCAGGAGTCGGGGATTTAGCTCAGTGGTAGAACACTTGCCTGGCAAGTGCAGGGCTCTGGGTTTGATCCTCAGCTCAGAAAGAGAAAAAGTTAGCCTCAGTTGCATGGCAAATTTGAGGCTATCCTGGGCCGCATGAGACTTTAAAAAAAAATGGTGAAGATGATAAATTTTATCATAAGTGTTTTTAAACACGGTTTAAAATCAAAGTAATTAAAAAGAGAAAGTATTCTTGAGGCAACAGAGCTGTTCTGAATCATGAGAAAATGTGTGGTCCCCAGCTGTGTGGATTCGTCAGATTCATTAAACTGGACACTAGGAAGAAAAAAGCCCACATGTAAATTATAGACCACAGCCGACCCGACTTAGAAAACCAAGACGTGCTGTAGTGCAGGAAAAAGTCCATTCAGTCACTCAGCATGGATTTATTTCCTTTCATTCTTTCCTTCCTTTGTTTTTCTCTTTGCTACAGTACTGGGGATGAAACCCAACGCTTCAGGCATGCCAGAGAAACTACACTGAGCTACACTCAGCCTTCCCTTTACTTTTATTTTGAGTCAAGATCTCACTAAATTGCCCTTGAACTCACTCTGTAGACTGGGTCACCTTCTAAATGTATAGTTCAATCCTCCTGCCTCAGCAGGAGTAGCTCAGAGTAGCAGGAGTGACTGGCCCGTGCCACCAAGCCAGCTCAATATATACATCTGTTAGTTATTTATTATGAACCACACTCTAGATTAGCCTGTGACAGTCCTGAAGAGTTTGCATCTTTATGAAGATATAATAAATCTATGTATTAGACAGACTAATGAAAGAAAGGATAATCTAAAAATAGATATATCTGCCATCTATCTATCTATCATCTATCTATCTATCTATCTATCTATCATCTATCTATCTATCTATCTATCTATCTATCTATCTATCTATCTATCTATCTATCTATCTATCTATCTATCTATCTATCTATCTAATCTATCATCTATCTATCTATCTATCTATCTATCTATCTATCTATCTATCTATCATCTATCATCTATCTATCTTCTATCTATCTATCTATCTATCTATCTATCTATCTATCTATCTATCATCTGTCATCTATCCATCAACCTACCCATCTGAGCTTTGTCTGCCTTGTCCACCTATTAACTATCATCTGAATTTAAAGGTTTATTTATTTTTATTTTATGTGTATGAGTGTTTACCTGCATGTGTGTATGAATACTCTGTGTGTATAATACCCCTGGAGGCCAGAAGAGGGCATTAGATTCCCCTGGAATTGGAGGCACAGACAGCTGTGAGCCACCATGTGGGTTCTGGAAACTAAACCCCAGTCCTCTGCAAAAGCAGCAAATGTTCTTAATCACCGAGCTCTCTCTCCAGTCTCATCATCTGAATTTAATAAAGAATAAGGAAAGCACTATAAATTATAGAGGAAAAGCAAATTATCCAGTAACTTCTAACTTTACATTATACCTCCAAATAAATTCCTTATAAAGATTTCAATGTAAAAATTGTCGTTGGGAGTATAAAAGTCATAAATAATAAATAAAATATAAATGTTTATATAATTTTGGCCTAGGGAAGAGTTTTCTAAGTATGAAACCAAAAACAAATACATAAGAGAAAAGATTAATAGATTTGATGACTTATAAATTGAACAGCCTGACACCAAAAACACTATAAATAAAGTTAAACATTAAGCCATAACAAGAAAATATTACCTGCAGCTTGTATTGTAAGGATTAATGTCCTTAATGCATAAGGCGGTATTGTGAATTGGTATGACAAAAGACAAATATTGTAATAAAATGAGCAAAGGACATAAAGTTTGACATTTTAATTATTTTAGCTTTGCTTTTCAACAATCCACAAAACAAGTAATAAACATGAAGGCCAAAAACCGTAAGCCCATTCACCACAGCTGAAGATCAGCAAAGGGCAGAGGAAGAAAAGGGGCAGCTTTCCTTGTCAGACTGAGATTCAGGTTTTCAAGGGTTGTCTTCAGGTTTGTTGAGATGGGACTGGGTGTTTACAGAGGCAGAATCAAGTCCTTCAGAACAATGATTTACTGCTCACCTTTCCCCCTCCTCTGCCTACCACTACTGCCTCTGTTCTGGAATGCTGAGCTTGCAAACTACATTTTTAAAGACACCTTGCTGGCTTCTAGTCAGTCAGTGAGAAGTTGGCCAGGGCAGACACTGAAGGGAGAGCAGGAGGAAGAAAGGAACCCTGGCGGCTTCCACCCAGGGTCTGTCTCTCATCCATAGTACCCATGCCAGGCTTACCCCTCTGCACTGCTTTGGAGGTCAGTGCATGCCCCTCACTCAGAAGTCTGACACCTGTGGCAGGTGCCCTCTGAGAGGCCAATAGCAGCTTTAACATATCGTCACCTGTGGGTCCAAGCACAGTTCCTAAGGAGCACTATGGAGGAACATCTCTCTCAGGATCCATGTGTTGGAAAAGTGATCCCTCAAATCATACGATAGTTGGTGGAGGGACCTTTAAGATGCAGTCAGGAGGTGAGCATATTAGTTATTTGCCAACAAATACCTGACAAAAGCAAGTTAAGGAAGGGTTTATTTTGGCTCACAGTTCCAGGAGATACAGTCCATCATGAGATACAGTCCCTCACAGCAAGGAAGGCACGGAAGCAGAAACTGAGGTGGCTGGTCACACACACAATCCAGAAGCACAGAGCAATGCATATGTGTGCCCGGATCACTTTTTCCTTTTTGTTCAACCTGGGACCCCAGCCCACAGAATGGTGACACTCACATTCATGGTAGATCTTACTACCTCAGTTAACCTAAATCTCTCACAGACATGTTCAGAGATTTGTTTCCATGGTGATTCACAATCCCATAAAATTGATGCCCTAGTTAGCTTTCTATTGTTGTGATAAAACACTCACACCAAAACAAACTTGGGGAGGAAAGGGTTTGTTTGGCTTACCTGTCCTGATCACAGTTTATCCTTGAGGGAACTCAGGTTAGGAACCTGGAGGCAGGAGCTGAAACACAGACCATGGAGGTACACTGTTTCCTGGCTGGCTCCTCTGGCCCATGCTCAGACTGCTTTCTTACACAACCCAGGACCACCTGCCCAGAATTGACACCACCACAGTGGGCTGGACCTTCCCACATTACTCAACAGTCAAAAGTTACTCAACAATCAAAAAATCAAAAAGATGCTCAATGGACATGGCCACAGGCCAGTCTGACTGAGGAAATCCCTCAATAAGATTCCCTCTTTTCAGGTGTGTCAAGGTGACAACCAAAACCAACCACAGCAGGTGATAATCAAGATTTGCCATCATGGGGCCGGCAGGTTGGCTCTGTGGTTAAGAACACTGGTTGTTCTTCCAGAGGACCCAGGTTCAATTCCCAGCACCCACATGGTAGTTAACAACAGTCCATAACTCCAGTCCCAGGGGATTTGACACCCTCTTCTGGCCTCTATGGACTTTGCACAGTGTGCGTGCACCTACATGCATGCAAGAAAACACTCATAGAGGTTAAATAAATGAATAAATAAGATTAACCATCATGGTGTGGGTCCCATGATTGCTTCAGTGGCTTAGACCTGAGTCAGTAGCTTACTCTGTCTCACTATGTGAAACCCTACACCTTATCGGATACAGCAACAGGCCCAGGGTCATATGCCTTTATGATTGTATGCCACAGAGGTTTGTTACTGGGACCAGGACAATTCAGAGGGGACAGACAGTTCTACTCTGTGAAGTTATCCACAGACATAGGATAGCATTCAACTCCACTATCCCAACATATAGCTCCTATTTTCCCAATGCAGCAGGGCCAACCCCTATGAAGAAGAAGTCAAGAAAGTGCAAGTTTGTGGGTTTTTTGTTTTTTTTTTGGTCTTTTTGAGACAGGGTCTCCCTGTAGTCCCAGCTGACCTCAGTGGTTAAGAGCACTGACTGCTCTTGCAGAGGTCCCCGTTCGATTCCCAGCACCTACATGGCAGCTACAAACTGTCCTTAACTCCAGTTCCAGGGGAATCTGAAGTTGTCTTCTGACCTCTGTGTAGCCCCAGCTGACCTGGAACTCGCTATGTAGACCAGGCTGGCTCGAACTCACAGAGATCTGCCTGCTTCTGCCTCCCGAGTGCTGGGGTTAAAGGTGTGCGCCACCACGCCCGACAAGTTTTGTTTTTTGAGAAGCTGACCCAGTAGATACACATAGCAAATCTTATAAGACTAAACTTAGGGGCAGGAGAGATGGCTCAGTGGTTAAGAGCACTGACTGCTCTTGCAGATGACCCAGGTTCAGTTCCCAGCCAGCACCCACATGGTGGCTAACAACCATCGTCTGTAACTCCAGGGGATCCAATGCCCTCTTCTGACCTCCATGGCATTGCACAACATGGGTGCACTTACATACATGCAAGCAATATACTCATATAATGAGAAAAATAAAATATTTTTTAAAAAAGACTGAACTTAGTCTCATGGCCATGCCTAGTGCAAGGGAGGCTGGGAAATATAGTCTCATTAGGGACAGAATTATGATCCCCCAAATCTATATGTTGAAATCCTAATGCTGAGAATGTGGATATATTTGAAGACTGGGTCCTTTATGAGCTAATTAAGTAAAACAAAACAACCACAACAAAAATTAGTGTGTCCTAATCCGAGCATGGTGTCCTTATAAAAGACTAATACAGAGACCTGTATGGAGAGAGGACCATGTAAATACAAAGGCAGAAGATACCCTCTCCAAGCCCGGAGAGCGGCCTCTGAGAAGCCAGTTTTCTCCATCTTCTTGTTCTTGAACTTCCAAGTTCCAGTATTGAGAAAAGAAGTCCCTGTTGTTTAATTTGCCCAGTCTGGGGTCTTTTGTTAGAGTGGCCTGAGCTGACTCATATAAGTCATACCCAAGGAGCCATGTTTCCCAACTAAAACGAAGAAGAGTGGCAATTTTATTACTAAACAATAAGGGAACAAAGGACACTGGGAAGAGTTAACATCACCCACAAAATCTCGCTGAGGAGTCTGCTCTAGCACATCACACAAAGCTTCCAGGCCCTGTATCCCCAGTCCTTTGGGATGTGAAACGTCAACATGTATCTGGGCTCCTGGCTTGGTGAGCCCTTCTTGGGTCACCAAGACAAGGGCTGGTGACCTGCCAGTGCTTATAATCCTATTCCTGCCTCTGCTGTCTTGCAGTAGGATTAGGCAGAAAGAGACGTTGACCCTGGTGCAGACGAAATAAATAGGTTAGCTGCAGGTGTTACTCAGTGACAGAGCACTCACTCAGCATTCATGAGGCCCTGAGTTTGATCCCTAGCATTGCAAAAACTACAACAAACAAAACAAACAAACAAAAAGGCCCCTGCAGCTGAGAATGGATGCCTCCTGTGAAGAACCCAGGTGTCACCGCATGGGCTATGCCATCTTAGCCACACAGAGTCACTGACCTGCAACTTCCTGTCCTTTTTCCTCCTTTCTGAAAGTCTATAGAAGCTTTTGTCAATGGTTCCAAGGGTTGTGGAGTATCTGGGAATTTTCTTCCCACCCTTCCTTCCTGGGAGGAACCTGTCCTTTGAAAGTCAGCTCCTTGGAGGAGTTTCCAACCAGAAGACCCCTGTTGTACAGAGCAGGTGTGGGTGCTAAGGCGGAAGAGACAGTCTCCAGGAGAAGAGGCTTACTTACTGGTTCTGAGGGACAGATGTATCCTTTCCCCACTCTGCGAGGGACCCTTGGCTTCTGTACTGGCTCAAGAGAGAGTGGAAAGAGACTACCTACCAGCAGGGCAGTTTGTCAGAAGCCTGAGCTGTGCCTGGGCCTTGCCTCCCACACCCCACTGGGCAGGAACTAAACCACTCAGAGCTCACCATCTGCTGCATGGCTTGCTCCTAATGCTCCTTGACTGGCCTCCTTGGGCACAGTGGCTCCTCACTCTGGACTCTGCCATTCACTTCCACCTAAAGGTGCTCTGAACCATCGCTGTCCTGTGGTCGTCTAGCATCACGCCATGAAAGCCAAGGACTTCTTGACAGCAATGTCAGTACCCAAAATAAATATGGGGAATTAGGAAAACAACAGCACTGGAGTAAATACATCAAAAGATTACAACAAACACATTTGTGAGACAGTAGTGCACACACCTTTCGTAATGCATTGGTAATTATAGAGGAATTGTATATAATAGTAATTTCTATACGATAGGAGTTACTATAATATCAAAGTAATGCATGTTGATTGGAGATTATCAGTGACAACTATAATATGATGTGAAAATGTGTGGCACTCAGAACCCCTATTTTGCAGTGACTAGCTAGGAGCTAGAGTTTGCAGTCCAGCAGATCCTTATATCTCCCAGCAGCTGCAAAGCTGGTGACTAGCCACAGCAGTCATTTGGCAGTTCTCAACATGAGGTCCGAAACTGGCAGTTGTTTATGCCATCCATCCTCTCATCCATCTATCCACCCACTCATCTACCTACCTCTCTACTCATCCATCCCCTTACTCATCTGTTACAACTTTCTAGCGCTATGATAAGACACTCTGACCAAAACTAATTTGGGGAAGAAGGGGCTTGTTTGGCTTATACATCCTGGTCTCCGAGGGAAGCCACTGCAGGAGCTCAAGAAGGAACCCAGAGGCAGGAACTGTAGAGGCTGTGGGAAAAATGCAACTTACTGGCTCCTCTGGCCCATGCTCAGCCTGCTTTCTGTTATACAAAGGCTGGGCAGGGAATAGCCACAGGAAACATAGGACTCCAGTAAAGCAAAGTTTGTTTCTTAGGATTGCTGGTGGCTGGCAGCTCAGCTGGGGGGAGAAAGGCAAACAGCATCCTTCTGACTGCTGAGGAAGTTCTTATATGGGGGTAGGGGAATGTGGAAGGTGGCAAAAATTATCTTTAGTTTCAAGGGAAGTATCTTGAATTGAGATAGTTCTTACATCAATGGGCCTGGGTACAGGGTCCTGTTTATCTTCCAAAATTATCTGGGGAACAGCTTTGTGTTGAGACAGCTCTAAATGAAGCTGTCTGACCAGTTCCTGTTTTGCAAGGGGGCCCTCACCAGCCGTCTTGTGAGGCTTTTTTATACTGGGAGAGGGTCGTCTGCAGACCTGGACTCTAACATTCCAGCCTTTCGTGTTATAGGCTAGGGGGCGGCGTTTTCTCATCATGGCTACTTCCTGCTGGCCAAGGTCATTGTGGGGAAAGGAAGGTTGGAGTCAGGGTCTGGTCAGGCAGCGGGGGTCTCCAGCTCGTGCATCTAGACAAAGTCCTTTGTGATCGACAGACGTTTATACACATGTGAGGGAAAGGAAAATAACAGTTGGTTAAAGCTGGTATGAGTTAGTTGTTGTATCTGGCCCTGAAAATATCTGAAGAGGCAGGGAACAATGGTTAGCACCAGAGTAAGAGAGAGGAGGGGCCCAAGTAAGGGCAGAAGCCAGGGAGTCAGTCCTAAAAAGATATCCCATTGGGGTGATTGCTGGTACTGGGAAGTTTTAAGTAAGAAATCCTTGGCCACCTGTTGGAGGCATTTTATGTTGTGTTCAACCTTATTTGATTGGTTGACATAATAATAGCATTCCTTGCCCAAGAAAAGGCAGATACCTCCCTTTTCTGCCATTAATAGATCCAGGGCTTGCCTGTTCTGGAGGGCAACTTCAGCTAGGGAGGGCAGTTGCTGTTGTAAGATCTGGATTGACTGGGCTGTTGCTTCCACTGCTGTAGTAAGTTCCTGCTTGAGGTCCTGGATCTCCTGAGAGAGGTGTGGGCTGAGACCAAAGTATGTCCCAGACTCCCTGCTGCAAATCCTGTGGTGGCTACGGGTGATACCAGGCTGATTCCCACCAGCACTGCTAGAGTAGCTGACCTTTTGTTCTGCTTTTTCCTGTTTCTGTGGAGAGAGAATCATGCACCTCTCCTGAGGCGTACAGAGTTAATATAGGTATGAGAATGACTGGAGTGTAGGCGTCCTTGACGGGTGGGGAGGTACAGGTATACATCTTGGAGTGGCAAAGGAAAAGTAGCACTGGGGCTAGACCAGTATTGCCCTGATTGAACATTGTGGATGGAGGAGTGGGGGCAGTTAGAGACTTAAGCCTAATGTCTGGGAAGTTCAATCCTTTGAACTCTTAAAGAAATACTGATCACTTTAATTTTTGGTTATACTTTCCTTTTGGATGTTTAAGAACATGCAGTTGGCCCAGATAAATCAATTTATTTTTACTCTTAAGGTCATTTGAGGATGTGTTCTTCAGGGACCACATGAGCTTAGGAGGAGTCCCTGGCTCCTTTCTTTTACCAGTTCCGTCTATGTGAAGATAAATCCTACTCGACCATGGCTGGCTTCACTTGGAAGCATGGAGGAAATGTTTCCTCTGTGTTGACCCTCCTCTTAGTAGACTGGACACTGGTTCAAGTACATCTGGTGGGGTCTCCATGGCCTCCCTGAACAAGAGGACAGGTGATTCATCACAGTTACAGGACCTAGGAGGGCAAGGAACAAAAACTGTCCCTTTAAGTCCCTCTGACCATATTAGTATAGGCTCCACAGTCTGGCTATTAAACATCCAAAAGGGTTAGTTACACCAGTCTGGTACTTTTAATTATCATGTGTCATGCAGATAAAGCTTGAGCAAAACCCATTTTTAGATAAACTTTTACTAGACATCCTCAAACTAGTTGACTAAACTATGACCTTAGCCTGGGGATACTAAGCAAGGCTTACCCCAATCTAAGGTTTTAGTGTCAAACCAATGTTTGATTACATTAAAGTTTTCCTGGGGAACTAATGAATTCACTGAGCTTACTTACAGAGATGACTGAGGGGTTGCTGAGGTGTATGAGTGACCTGAGAGTATTTGCATTGGATGTTGACTCTTTTATAACCTCATGGGTCATGTCAAACAAGTATGTGCAGAACCAACGTGCAGAAAGGTGTCCCCTTCTGTCGGACGCCCAAGGAGTGGTCCCAGTCTACTTGAGGTAGCATCCTACAAACACCAGGGAGGTATGTTCACCAGAGAGGGGACAGAGCAGGTTCCTGTCCTGGACAGGCAGGGTGTGTTCCTTCAGCAGAAACAGCATCCTGTGACCAGTAGACGGAATGAGTTTTTCAGCACACCGGTGTGTCTTTTGGACTCAGTTTGAAAAACTCAACTGACAGTGAATGTGGCACGACCAGGTGGTAGAGGAAGACAGAGTACAAGAGGGATGGGAAGGGAGACGTGGAGAGTAAGAAAGAAGGGGAATGGGGGAAAGAGAGAGGGAGAGAGAGAGAGAGAGAGAGATTTTGAGAGCAGCAGGTGGGGAATGAGGAAAGGTGGAGAGAGAGGTACTTAAAATTAATTTATATATTTTAGTACCAGGAACCACGTTGTAGATAAGGATTAAAGAGAGAATATTTTGACCTGAAAAAATATTTTTGTGTTAATTTAACATTTTTAGTGTGTATGAAACCTCATTTAAAAGTTAATATGATACCAAGTAAATTAATTTTTTTTTTAGTTTGTATGAGACTTTGCTTACAAATCAATAGGACTTGTAATAGGACAAGTCAATAAGAAACATAAACTTATGTTGACTGTATATACATATCTAATTATATATAAGATAGATTTTAATAACTGAGATTTTGTAATTATTATTTTTGAGAATGGGGTTTATTAATTTTAAACCAATTCACCTTTGAAGTAGATAAATAAAATGAATACACCTTAAAACACCTTGAAAGTAAACTAAATCCAAAAAAGGTATTTAACAAATAGGATTTTATATAACCAGTTTAGATGTTGTTTTGTATAGGTAATCAGCATTTGAAAGTTTTGTGAAACATTTAATAAACTTGAGGACACTGTTTAATAGATTTTATAATAATTAGGGTACCTGTATATAAGGCCTTTGAATATATCCTCAAAATATTTATAAATTTGTACACATGTATTTTGATTAGGCATGCCAAAAATAAGACCAATAATTTTTGTGTATAATAAAACAATGAGAAAGAAGAAAGAGCTAAAATGGCCATAGTTCAAAAATTGTTTTGACACAAACAATACACGAAAACAATTATCATAGACACAGATCCCATAATCACATGAAATTTAGGTGCATCAAAGAGTAGACAGGAAGCTTATAGCTCTAATTCTTTAAAAAAGACTTAGTGCTGTAGCAGAAAGGGTTAAGTTTGTCATATAGATTTGAAGTAGCATTTTTTTTTCTTTTAAGAGTCAAATAATTATTTAAGAACCCTGTCAATACCTCACAAGGAACATGTTGACAAAGCAAAGCAACTTGGCAAGGCAGATTTTACTTTTATATAAAGGTGTTTAAAGGAATCTATTTAAAGAGAAAAGAGCTCAGCTGTTCTAGACCATCAGGTTCAGGATGCATCAAGGCCTTTTCTTGAAGAAAAGTCTTACAAGGCATGGTGGGATTAAAAGATTAGAATTTCTTGTCATAAACCAAGTTTTAAGTTTTACAGGTTTTTGAAAGAGAAGACTAATGTTTCTTACAGACAGGGATGCCTTTACATATGAAACCCAGCAAAGTTATGTTACTAGTATAACTTAAATCAGAGGAGACAGGAAAGATAAAAGGACAGATTAACAGTTTAGGTTAAGAATAAATAAAATTCAAATGGTACTGAAAGGAATCCCATTTAGAAACAGGTTAAAATAATGTTAAAATTTAAACTCCCATTGTGGCATTGCTTCCTTAGTCTGATATAAAAATGTATTGACCTTGTTATAAGACAATAGGAACTA